GAAGACATAATTTCCATTCATCCACACAATAATGAACTCATTGTGATTTCAATTTGATGCGATGAATGGGAAATCAAGAGAGTATTGATTGATTAATGGAGCTCCATGAACATCCTCTATTGGGATGAATTTGAAAGGCTTTGCCTAGATTTGGATAATCTCAACCCCTTTTAGAGATCTTTGGCAGGTTTCTCAGGCGATCTGGTGTAGGTAAATGGGTATATAACATTGAATATTATTTCTGGGACGAAGGAAAATACCAAGCGGGTCAATGTAATATATTTAGTCATTGATGCACCTTCATCATATAATATGATAATATGGGGACCTACCTTCAACTAGTTAGGGCTTCCCTACCTACTCTATACCTATGTATGAATCACCCATTCGCAAATGGGTGTACGTTATACAAGGGGGTCAAGAGATCGCTAGAAAATGTTATATGGAGAGCTTGAAGCTAAAGAAAGTCAGAAAAGTACGAGTGAACATCATGGACATGGAGGCAATGTCGCTAGAAGAAAATCCTGCAGAAGCAGGCCTTATCATTCCAGAATAAGAGAACATGAAAGTTTGCGAGGGAGATCCCCCACCTAGAAGTGACAACCAAAGAAGTGGATCTCAATTAGTTTAATTTAATTGATGTATGTTTTAGGAGAATTATATTCTTGATCATTTTTGCATGAACAATTACGTTTCTATGAGGGTGATTTTTTCCTTTGTGTTTAGGATGACATGTAGTTTTTAAAGAGACCCTCACTTGATTTATGTAAGCATTTGTATTACGACTAATCTACATGCAACTCATTTGAGATCAAGAGAATATTATCAAAGTCGCCCGTCGACGTGATTATATGTTGAATCCTCACGTAGGAATCCTTAATTCCCCTCAAAGTGATTATATGTTGGATCCTCACGTATGAATCCTTTCCGCCCTTCAAACTGATTACATGTTAGATCCTCATATAGATCTCCTTATCGTCTCTCGAGGCGATTACATGTTGGATCCCCATGTTGGAATCCTTGTTGCCCTCGAGGCGATTAAATGTTGGATCCTTACGTAGGAACCCTTGCCACCCCTCGAGGAAATTAAACGTTGGATCCTCATGAAGGATTTCTTGTCGCCTTTTAAGGTAATTACATGTTGGATCCTCACAAAGGAATTATTGTCGCCCCTCGAGGTGATTACATGTTGGATACTCATGTAGGAATCCTTGTCTTCCCTCGAGGCTATTACATGTTAAATCCTCACAAAGAAATCCTTTTCCCCTAAAGGAGATTACATTTTAATTATTAAAAAGGAATCCTTGACTCCTTTCTTAGCGAGTATATTGAATATCCGCGGAGGAGCTTAGGTTGCAAGCACAACCCCTTGAGGGAAACCACATTGCACCTTAAGAATAATAGGGGCGTCCCCGTAGGGAGACCAACTCCCCAAAAAGAAAATAAATGAACATTGGTAGATTCTCTACAAGATAATATAAATATGCAAATTACGATAATACTATTAAGACCCAAAATTTTGCAATTAATTAATAAAAATGTCAAAAAGATAATGGCAAGATCATGGAGTCATTAGTTCTCTATAGGATCGCCGAGGAAGATGGTGTCACCTTTTTGGGACCCATTAGGAAGGACGTGTTTGTCGTCCACAAACTGGCCTCCCTGGACCACCTTAAATAAATCTATAAGACTTAAATCCAATCTAGGATAGAGAAATGTCACTTGTTCATTCTCCCTCTGGAAGTATATATTAGAAATATCTATCAAGTCATCTTTAAGGATGAATATTTATTACTCAAGATTTCTAATATAACTAAGGGTCTCATTCAAATATCTCTTTACTCTGGTGGCAACAGCAGCGTGAGATCGCCTCAAAAACCATCTTCTTCAATAATACCATCATAATATCTTTCTCTTACGTCAGGGTATTAATTGTCTCTTGGTTTGAAAAATGATCTCTAGAGCCTTGGTGAGTTTGGACTTTAGGTTCTCAATTCTTTCCTTGAACCCACCCGATCAGTAGAATCCTTAACAAACATGTCTCTATCACATTACAAAACTCCTCAAGTAAGCTATTATAAACCTTTTAATAATCCGAGGTGAAATCCTTGGGGAATGAGACACGGTTTTCAGTAAAATTGGTGGAATTAAACAAAGCATTCCTCTAAATGGAGGAAAGAGAATGAGAATAATCCCCAATTTGTCAGGTCTCACCTCTATCTCTAGCATCCTTAGTGTTTGTTAACTTTCTTTCACCAGGGGCTTAAGAAAAACCTTCCCTTTTCCTGAGAATCTTGGTGGGAGGTTCATCAAAGACAAAGCAATCCTTCATGCGATTTGAGGTATACTTTGAATCTTGATCAAATGGGTTGTAGGGAAGGACGGTGACTGGTCTAATTTCAACCTCCCTCTTCGCTAATCACTTATTTCTCTCAACTAATGGTTATGTTGACATTTTGCTCAGGTAAAGGATAGAGAGAAAAGCACTTAGGAAAATATTCAAGGAAAAATCTCAAACAAAGAGGTTATCCATTAACAATCTCACATATATAATTATCTATCTTGCAACCATCTCTTAGATCCAAGGAGACCAAAGTACAAGAGCACATGAAATGGGAGCCGAACAATTTCTGAACCATTTCCCACTTAAAAGGCGTAAGATCATCCAAAGAGATTCTGTCTACTATGGCCATGTTATATTTCTCCTCTTCAGAGCTTTGTTAAAAAATCACATCCCCCTTGTATCCCATGTTAGAAAGTACGATCTTTTGCCGGAAAGGTGATACTTTTTCCTCATTAAAATACAAGTATACAAAGTCCTGCACTTTAACACATTTATCACCATTTCCCATTGACTCCAGATAAGAAAGAGAAAAAAATTTAATGTTATTAGCAAATATCTTTGGGTCATAAACTATAATTTCAAAAGTATGGTTATTCATTATGGCCATCCAAAAGAGAAGCCAATGGCTAAGTGGAAAAACGTACCTATATTTGTATCTATATTCAAAGGCTTGGAAGACATGTTTCACATCCGAACAGACTCCTGGCTATTTGTAAAATGATTGAGTGGAAAAAGGTTAGAAGAGGAAGACTTATGGTTTTTATAACAGGAAAACCAATTTTAAGGGAAATCAATCCCCATATGAGTATCATAACAGTTACAAGAAAAGGAAAATCCCATGTATCTGACTCACCTGCATGGAGTAAGGCAGAATTCAACTTTCCAAGGAAAGTCATCATCAATTGTATTTAATACAACACATGGTTTGCCTAATTGGCACTTTAATCCTTGTTAGCTGAATGACATTCAATTTCTTTAAGTGATTGACGTTTGAATTCCCACAACTGAAACGTGGGTTGCATCAATAACACCTAAGAGCATGCCTTAAGCCCAACCGCGCACAAGGTGATAACTCATAATTGAAATTCCGTCTAAGGGACTCGTCCAAATCTCACCTGAAGAACTCGACTAAGTCTCGGCAATGCTTTTCACAAAGGTCGAAAGATGAGTTATGAATTAAAATACTTCGCCGAGCTCCTGTGCTTGAGGGATTGTGTAGTGATATAATTTCAAAAGATATTAGGGGTGGGGTGAATGACACATGTTTGGGCATTCATCTTTTGTGAATCTCCCTTGCATTAGTTCGACTGTCCCCCTTTTTGGTTCGAGCGCCCCTTATTAAATATGTAGCGTGAATCTCAAGTTTTGCCGTCCATAATGTGTGATCGTGCATAGAGCGTATATTGAGTCAACAAACGTTATATAAAAGGTCATGAGACTTAAACATACCTTTTAAATTTCAGAAAATCTACCACTCATATTTGAAGTGATTGATAAATTATAGGAAGATTCGGTTCAGATACCTAAACTATAAATATGAAATGGTGTTTTTTTTATAGATTAATGTTACTTTTTTTTCAATTTTAGTTGTCATTTCAATAGAATTATTTATACTTATTATAATATTTTAAACTATTAATTATTTTATTTTTATGGGGTTATTTTACCCATTGATGTGGTGTCCCTCTCGATCCTAGTTGTGGGGAGAGCTGGTTTGAATGTTGTGGGACCCTCTCCATTAGAGCATTCTTGTGTTATCATGTGATTCTATCAAGTTTTTTATGTTTTGCTTCGGGTGATATGTCATCATGTGTCCTGATCATTTGAATACTTTTTATATTCTTGTTAGATCTAAGGCGATGAATTTCTCTTTTATGGAGAAGATTCTGTTAAAGTTAAGATGTTGATTCAATTGGAAGAGCGTGATGTTTTGGTTAAAAATATCAGAGAGTATGCTAGTTTTCAAAGACCATGATATCTTTTGACATTAGGGGCTAAGAGGTTGAATTAAAAAAGATCATTAAAGATCTTATCAAGAAAAATCATTTAAACTTCTTAATTGTCCGAAAAATAAAATAAGGTGAGGTTGAGGAGGCTCTATGCCACTCACTTTAGAAATACTCAAATACACTAACTTTTCACCTCACACGAACTATATCCTAAAACTTTTGACCGTGGTTATCTATTATGGGTTATCAAACATTTATATTTCTAGTGGATAAAACACGAATGCAGTTTCACTTTACACACATAAAAGTTATATAAAAAATTAACCATCACAAACCACCCATGTAGTAATACTTGCAATTAAAACTAAACAACCTACTAGAAAATTGGAATATAATATCTTTGTTTCCTATCATAAGAGGCAATTTTCCTTGGTGGGACCACATGGGCCATTTCTAGTTTTGTCATCTTCAATATAGATAAGCACTCAAAATTCCAAGAAAGCCATAATAATGGCCTTAATTAATGGTAGCTTATTCTTTCAAGTCATAACGAAATTCCAAGAAAACCACCTTCATCTATAATTAATTCAATAAAACCTCACCTAATATTTTAATTTCCAACTTATATTTATTCTTTTTTTCCTCCATTTATCATCCTATCCTAGCTTCAAATTACTCTTTTAGATTCAAAGTCCACTGTCTTGGAGATGGATCTTGATGAATGGGAATCAGTCTCTGATGATGGCTACTTTGAGATGGAATATTTGTATCCATCACCACCAAGAAAACAAAACCAACTTGTGCCTTTACAAATTCCCTTGGAACTCAAAATTGGTAACACATCAAAGGATGTTTTGTTGAAAGACATGACAAAGAATCAATCTTTTGAAGATAATCAAGAAGAAAATGTGTCACAAGTTTTCTTTAAGATAAAGGAAAATGAACTTGTTGACATGAAAATAGAGTCACCAAAGTCATGTAGTAGCAAAGAGATTGTTACTTCACCAAGAATGATTATTGAGAAAGATGTGTTTGGTGATGAGAAAGAGGATTCAAGTTGGGAAGAAGAGAACAATAGTGGTTTTAGTATATGGAAATGGAGTCTTAGTGGTGTTGGTGCTATTTGTACTTTTGGTTTTGTTGCTGCTTCTATTTGTGTTGTGTATTTTGGAAGTCAACAAAGGAAGAAACTTCAACAAGACAAGAAGATTATGTTCCAAATCTATACTGATGACAAGGTTGGTAAATTTCTTAATTTTTCAAATGTTTTTGATAATCATATTATTAGTTCAGAGTATTTATGGACTTTTTTTCAAATCGAAGTAATAAGGGTTGAATCTCTGTAGATCCTGGCCAGATGATCCCTATGCCCCTTATTGATGTTATAGAATTTTACAATTTTTTCAAAGTTTACTTGAAATACTGAATATTTGACTAATTTAGGTGTAAAAAATCAATTGATTATGAATTATTGTATATTCAACAAAGTTATGATTTTGATTTCAGAGGATTAAGCAAGTGGTGCAACATGCAACAAAATTGAATGAAGCAATTTCTGCAGCAAGAGGAGTTCCTATAACAAGAGCTCACATAACAGTTGGTGGCAACTATGATGTTTTTGATTGAAGGATCAATTAAATGCAAATTCATGAAATATTTGAAGTGTATAATGGGAAACAGTAGCATAAAATCTATTAATCTAGCTTTAGCATATATTAATGTAAATAAGATGATGCACTATGTTGTTCCCTTATTGCTCTTACTTGTTCTGTGTATATATGATACATATATTCTATATTGTAAATTAAGTAAAAAACTAGCAGCTTTTTAGTTATTATTTGGTTGATATAGTTTTGAATTATTAAGTGTGTATAACTTTAATTTTGGTGGTTGGTAAATAGGTTAGGAGAAACTATAAATGGCAGATTTTTCGAATTTGTTGTGATGGTAGAGTAAGAGATTTCGGATTTAATGAATGTCAATGATTGACCAAAATCTCATATAGGCTTTTTGAAAGAAAAAATTATAAAAAAAATTATGAAATGGTGTTTTTTTTAATAGATTAATGTTATTTTTTATTTTTTTTCAATTTTAGTTGTCATTTCAATAGAATTATTTATATTTATTATAATATTTTTAACTATTAAGTATTTTATTTTTATGGATTATTTTGCCCATTGATGTGGTGTCCCTCTCGGTCTTGGTTGTGGGTAGAGTTGGTTCGAATATTGTGGGACACTCTCCATTAGAGCAGTTTTGTGTCATCATGTGATTCAATCGAGTTTTTTATGTTTTGTTTCAGGTGATATGTGTCGCTACCGCGAAAATAAGATGCCGGCAAAACAGAAGAGTCGCCACCTTTCGTTATTTATCCCTCAGAGCGGGAAAAGAAACGATCGGAAAAACCTGACGAAAAGGTATAAGACAAGGTCATCGCAACCTTTGTCTGGGTTTGGGAGTCGGTTACGCAAGGGGAAGGTATTAGCACCCCTCACGTCCATCGTACTCGATGGGATCCACGCTTGTTGTGTTTTTCTGACGGGTTGGTTTACTATCTACCTATCAAGGCCGGTCTGAAAAGAAAAGAAACTGACTCGGCAAAGCGTCGCACTTTATGCCTACGTATTCTCATCAGAGAATGAGGAATCAGAGTCAACGTAGTTCGGCTAACTACGGGTTACGGGAAAGGTGGCTCGCCAATACGTCAGTATTGTGCCTATGTACTCTCAACAGGTATGAGAGATCAGAGCTTACGTAGTTCGGGATAATACGGATTACGGGAATTTAAATTCATCTGTTTTTCGAGTAGGGTTAACAAACAATTCCAGCAGTTGGATGTACGCAGCTCGACCCTTGGAGACTTAGGCGTTACCGTTTGCGGTAGAACTGGGAGTTAACGACACTCTTTTCTTCAGAAAAGCTTCCTTTGAATTATGGGCCCACGGGGCAAAAGGTTTGAAGTTTGTTTTCTGTCTTTTACGGAAGAACTGTTTTTTATGGATGTTTGCAACTAATATCGCACTAGAGACTATGACCTGAGAGTGAATGTGTCGCATGTCACCCAAAGGGTGTCATACTAAACATCCAGACAGTTGAAAAGAAACTCTCCAACAATCCTTTCTCAGATAGCTTAAGGCTCGTAACGTACGGCGTCAGTTAACCTTTATTACTGTATTTTAATTTGTTTTGAGATGAGATGAGAGAACGAACAGGTTCAACTAAGGGGAGACTATCAAGTCCTAATGTTGTCATGCCAAGGATTCATCCTATGGTTGAGGTTTGAAACAGGGAACTCCTAGAAGTTGTCATGCATAGGTTTCAACCTAAAGTTCTAATCATCACTTCCTTATCAAAGGAAGTGAGATTCCTAGGGGATCATGTCAATGATAAACAGAAACAGATAAAGCATCAGCTTAAACAGTAAACAGTAAACGACTGTAAAATGCATGCAATGCAAGTGAGGGAGGAAATGTGTGTGGGGCATCAGTCTCCACAAGTTCATCTCAACCTCAAGCCAGATATGAATAACAGTAATCATACAGAAGAAATAAAATGCCATCAAGCAAAGCACAAACCACACAGGCAAGGAAGCTGGGCTCTACCGAATACCCGCAAGCAAAGCCATACAGTAAAAATACAAGCAGAGGGAGCAACTCAACCTCTAGTGCAATCATGCTCCTAGCTTAAATCAATCTAAATATGAACTTATTCTAATGCATCAAGCAAATCAAACAAGTCACATTAATACAGTTGCACAGAAAGAAAACAGACAGTCAAGACAGCAGATCAACCACCCCTACAACTCTACAGCAAAGCAACCTTCTGACAGCAGTTCAGTCATCAGTCCTCAACTGCTCTTCAAGGCTAGCATCTTCAATAGCAAGTATCCACTTGCTTCTTCAAGCTTCTAACACATCCAACATAAGTGTCAACTTATTCTCTCTTCCTCAAGCCTCAGCTTTTCAGTAAATTCCATCTTCAGGCTTCACTCCTAATATCAAGCATCAACTTGGCTCCTTCAGGCTCTCAATGTAAGCATCAACTCATTCTCCCCTCTTCAAGCCTCAGCTCTTCACTCAATTCCAATTTGATCTTCTTCACAAGTGTCAACTTGTTCTTCTGGACCCTCAAGCTTCAGTTCTCTCCTCCTTACAAGTATCAACTTGCTTTCCCTGATCTGCAAGCTTCAGCTCCTAAGAGTAATTTTCAAGCACAAAGAAGTATCAACTCCTACCCCTCAATCTCTTCAAGCAAGGAACTCCATCCTCTAGCAAAGGAGAAATATTCATCTATCAAGAGCATAGTTTGGATGATTGGTAGCAGAGTGAAGACCAAGGGTCACCATTAAGCATCCTATCATCAGAGAAAGGGACCCTCAAAGGTTCTACCAACTTGCAAATAGCCACACATCCTACCAAATGAGGGATGAGGTCTTTACAAGGGGACCTTACATCATAGGGAAGAATGGAAGTGATCAACATCTTCCATGTTTATGAAGGAAGAGAAACTATCTAGAAGCTCTGCCTACAAACCCTAATCTTAACACCTAATCAACACTACACCAAAAGAAGGGAAGATCTTCACATTCAAACTTCTTTAAGCATCCCATGGTAGCCCAAGCTTGTCCTCAACATCATCCAAGAGCAAGCAAAGCAAAACCCTAATCTAAGGGAACTAAAGAAGTTATTCTAGTTGAATTAGTGCCTTAGAATCATCTAAAGTTAGCACCTAAACTAAAATTAAACAAAAATAGTAAACTACATTGTAAATTCCTACAAAAATTCCTAAGGGATCTTAATTCAATTATGAATCTACCATACAAAAATCAGAGGTTGAATCATCCACCAAGTTCTAAAATAAAATCTAAACCACAAGGCATCAACCATAAACCCTAAAAAATGGAGCTCTTAAAGTTTCAACCTAAAACTACCACTTACATTCATCACAAAAATGTGAGAAAAATCTAGGGGGAACATGCATATCTATTCTAGCTACTCACAAAAAATCAAGGCCAAAATCATCATCACATGATCAAACCAAATTCAACAAGATCAAGCATCAACCATGATTATTTTAATGTCAATTAAAATGTAAAAATGCCCATAAAATCAGAAAATGCATGAAATATTAATATTTTTTATCTAAAAAATACTAGATTCAATGAATCCATGGAAAAAAGAATGGAATTAATTGGGTCATTTTTCAATTATTTATGAATTTTCCAATAACCATGTATGAAATGAAAAATAAAATGAAAAATCCAAAGAAAATAATAGGCGCGCGGTGTGAATAGCAAATGAATTAATTTCAATATCCAAACTGGGCCAAAAGGGGGGTGGGAGTATCAACTATGGACTAAGCCCAAAACCAGCAAATAAATGAAACGCTGCGTTTCAAAATAGTTCAGAAATCCTTCACAAACTTGGAAATAATCGTGGCTGTGGGATGATGTCCTCAGTCAAAGTCCACCTAAGATCCAATGGCTATCAAGTCATCTTCTCCATTTTGAATCTCTGAACTCAGTCCACCTGCGCGCGCTAGAGTCACTGCCGGTGATATTCTCCGATCAACCTTCCACAACCTTAGCTCTCTCTAGAGTCCACCATTGCAAATAGTCTCTACACGAAACTTGTCCCAAATCTCACAAGGAATCTTCCTATACCATTTAATCATCCTAAAAGTTCAAGATTTGCAAGAACACAATCTCAACCGAAAATTGGAACAACCCTAATTGGTCACTAATCTCCAAATTGATGATCCAAAAACCTTCCTACATCAATCTACAATGCATCTAACACAATAATTCCCATTGATTCTACCTAATTTGAGCCATGGGATAAGAACTGCATACCTGGTAAACTTGAGCAAACAGAGTGGTTGAATCTTCAAATCAACCCTCAAGAACTTGCAGAATCCTTCACTAGCCTCTAATCAACCTTCTGTATGCAAAGAAAAGAGTTGAAATGCCCTGGATTCTTGAAACCGATTCTGAGTTGCAAGCTTCCAACTCCAATGGCTACTTCACGATTCCTCCACAACTTGGCCTTGAATTTGATCTGGGATCAATCACCAACCTCGGAGCAAGCTATTGAGATCAATTTCTTGGACTGAAATGGCCTCTAACCTTGTAACAGATTTTGATTTGCAATGGGAAATTTCAAAGTGCAATCTCACTCTCCTCTCTCAATTCTCACCAACCTTGGCACTGAATCCCTTCATATGTTTATATAGAACATGAATGAATAATCTAGAAAGTTCTAGATCACTCTAATGAGAAATTCAATATCTCACTTCACTTGAAAATCCAATCTCATGGTATGCTCAAGACAGTCCTTGCATCAACTTGTACTCATTATGCTTCTCATCCAAATTCTCTCCAAATGAGATTATGAAAGTGTTTGGATTGAAAGGAGCCTTGGTTATGCCTTGCATATTTGTTTGGCAATTGTTACTTATGATGTAAGTAACCACTTTTCAAAGCAAGTCCTCAAATTAACCCTCAATTCAAAATTGTGGCAATGTCAATGTTCTTAAAATGTATTTTACAATCAAATTGGTATGTCATATGGCTTGGTTTGGACATGTAGTTCAAAAATCCCAATTTCCATCTTTGGTTCATTTGAAAT